TAGTTACTGACAACGACTTGAGCACATATAGAGAATCTGTCGAGTCAGTGATAAGGTAGTGTAAGAGTAATCATATTATTTTGAATGTAGCTAAAACAAAAGAAATGATTGTGGATTTTAGATGGAATCAGAATGTAAAGGCACCACTTTGTATTGTTAATGTTGAGGTAAGAAGGGTAGAGGAGTTTAAACTTGTTGGCATTCATAGGAATAATAAGCTTACCTGAAAAGACAACACCATGAAGAGCATAAAGAAGGCATGGCAAAGACTGCACTCAGGACTTGTATGAACAATGTACCTGTATTGGTTTGTGGTTTCACAGGTTTGTGATTGAAAGTATTCTGAGATATAGCATTACAATTTGGCATAACAGGATGACATGGGAGGAACGTAAATAACTGTTATATAATCAAAACTGCAAGATCTCCTCAAGTGAAATGATATTTTTAAGGCCAGAATGAAGAAAAGAACTGAAAGCATCATGGGAGACTTTTCTCACCCAGCATTACCATTTTTTACCTTTGTAGCAACAGTAGACTTAAAACTTTCAAAGGAAGTAAAATGCTTTTTAAGCAGTTTTTATCCAAGTGCAGTAATGTATTTTAATTTGTTTTTTAAATCTTATTCTTAATTTACCTATTGTATTACTTTTACTTTGTGTATTTATCAAACTTTACTCCAGAGTAAAAAGATTTCTGATTTTATAATTTGCTGAATATATTCTGATCTTTTCTTATCTCATGCTAATTTTAGGTTGATAAAGATCTGGCAGATGTACGGAATGGTCCCAATCCCATGCCGCAGGGCGAGCTCGCTCATGTTGCCATCGCCCTGGAAACCTGTTCCTGGCATGATGAAGACTACATCCCCTTCTCCGTGCTGGCCATGATGCTGGGGGGTGGAGGATCATTTTCAGTGGGAGGGCCAGGAAAGGGCATGTACTCCAGACTCTACTTAAATGTTCTAAATAGGTAAGAAATGAAGGGAAAAAAATTTGTGAATAATTTATGTTGTTCTCAAGGGTCTACCTTGGATGATTCAAATAGGTAAGGTAAAGCCGAGTTTGTGGTAAACGGAGATCTTTGGTTTAACTTCACAGCACAATGCACCATCATATTCTTCAAACACCATCTATGAGATTGAGCAAGTGCTAACTTTGTAGACTTTGTTTTTGTGTGTATAACCAAAATCATATGACTTGTTACAAGATGATATTGTGTGTTATGTAAAGGATACAAATCAGATTAATTTAAATTAATGAGGTATAGCTGTGAATAAGACATGCTGTTGATAAACAAGGTTACTACAAAGTGATGGTGAAAATCTTTAATCATGCTTAAATGTGAAATTTTAATCCATTTATGAATTTTTTTTTTTTGACAATGAGTGTTTAAGCTGTTTGTCATGCTTAGTTATGGATGAAGAGGAATTAATAATATCAGTTTTTTTGTAATCTTGTATATGTATTATTAATATAAAATAATTTGCATCTATTTTAGGTATTACTGGGTAAACTTTTGTCAGGCTTTAAATGTAACATATGATGACACGGGTTTCTTCACTATTACTGCCAATGCGCATCCTTCACATGTAAGTTTTTTTTTTTTTTTTTTTGACTTACATAGCTTGCTCTTGTTTTTCTGATACCTGAGGTTGAAAGAAAGACTAAAGAATGTTCAATATTAATTTTGTTGAATGTAAAAGATCATTTTTACCAGACTTAAGTAAGAAATAGTTGTCAGGTCTTTTCTCTTTCATCAGTGGTTTGGTGAAAAATAATTTTTTCCACTGTATTTATTTTTATTTTTTGTGTGTGTTTGTGTGTGTGTTCCACGGCAAGCATGTTTGATCATTTAAAATTTTGGTTAAGATAATCCATGAATGTCTTTTTTCCCTTGCAGCTGGGAGATTTAGTACAAATTGTCCAGAATGAGTTGTGTAAGACTGCAGGGAAAATTACAGTAGTAAGTATGACAGCTGTGGAAAAGATAACCTGAGCTTAATGTTTGAATTTAAATTACTTGGAGGTATTTTTTAACCTTTAATAATATAATTTTTGAAATAATATTTTAGATTATTGTACATTGTAAATGAAATTATAAAACCATGTGAATTAAATCTAATCTTTCAATGTTTCGGAATAGAATTTTTTAAATACTTATATGATTCTAGCATGGAAACTTGCCACAGATAGTGTGTATGGTCCATAGTAACAACCGACTTGTATAACCAAATAATGACAAATTGAGCACATCAAATGTTGGTATGATAGTTCTCTAAGGCATGGTGTTCTTCTAATTACAGAATGCTTATGGCAATGAACTGGAACGTGCAAAAATTCAGCTTAAATCCTTGCTACTTGGTCACTTAGAGTTACGGCCTGTTGTGTTTGAAGATATTGCTAGACAAGTACTTGCATCTGGTGAGAGGAAATCTGCCGAGTGGTATATTGAGAAAATAGGTAAGAGTCAAAATGGAGGGCAGTGGTCAAATATTTTCGATACAATCAAAAGTGCAACAAAAAAGTTTTTGTTTTTAAATTCTACTTAAAATTAAAACATCTGTCTCATCTTAGCAGTGAATACAGCAACTTGCATGTATAGCAATTTCATATGTTGTAAGTTATGGAGAAGAGATAAAAGTGGTCAAGAAAGAAGAGATCTTATGCAATGTCAATTTTTTTTTTTTTTTTTTACGAAATGCAAATTCAAATTTTTATGTGGTTTCTCTTCAAAATGAATACATAATACTATGATTCAATTTCCTCAAGGCCACTGCTTTAATTTCTAGGTGCTGTCACAGAGGAGGACATTCAGCGAGTAGCCAACAGAATGTTACGCACACAGCCTGCAGTCGCTGCCATGGGGAACCTCGAACAATTGCCCTCCTATGACAAGATTGCCAATGCCTTGGTTAAAGGATATAGTAGAAAATTCCTTGGAGGGAAAATATCATTATTCAGTTAACATTTACAAAACGGATTTGATCTTATCTTGCATATAAAATGGCCAGCTATTGAGAGGAATGCAAATTGATGATCATGATATCAGTACTACTATTTTCAATGGTAGTTTTAAGAGTAGATTCTGAAATGAAGTTTCAATGGTGTAATGCAAATATTTTAAGCCATCTGATTCTCTCAGTGCACAAAGATTATGAATGAGATTTTTTTTCCTTTTGTAAATAGTGTGAAAGCAATGTTACATCTGGCTGCTTGTAAATATTTCAGTGAAGTCTTTTTCAGAAGGGAAAAGATGTATATATTCAAACTATTGGATATGCTTCTTGGAAGCACAAAAGTAAAAAATGGATGGTAAATCTTGTTGACTACTATAATGTAGCCAATATCTAGTTTTTTAGATTGTGGAAAAAAATTGAATATTTGGTAGTTGGAACATCTTAACATGGAAAGGTTTTATGTTATAAAGTTGGGTTAATATAAGATAACTGCAGTCAAAAGTAAGAAATCAATTCTCTGTACCTCCTAAAAACACCAAATGCCAGCTGAATTGATGTTTTTTGAGTGCAACTTACATAATGCATTGAATTTCCAAGTCTTTGTCAAGATCTACAGTAACTCTTTCATACAATCAACTTAAATTGAGCAAGTTTTAGATACCATTTGTCTTCAAGTGGAAGTTACCAGATCATTACTTATGAGCATAAAATATTCTTGCACGTGATTGACAATAACAGCCACAGAACACATTTTAATAATTAATAATAGTAACTAACTTGATTTGTTAAAACGCAGCTATGAAAGTTCATATCTTGTCAAAAGTTTTTTCTCAATGATGAGGTTACTCCATTGTTTGTGAAGTACACTTTACGTTCCCTGTGCCCCGGTTCTTGTTAAGAGAGCTCTTGGTATACTTTGTACACGAATAATGGTCATGGCAGAAAACCAAGGTGATCTCATTGGTATACATTGTGGGGAAAATTACAGTAATCTCTGCATAACTCGAACATTCTGAACCCAGAAAATATGTTCAAGCTGTGCAATGTTTATAAAGTTTCAGCTAATATATAAAGAAAAGCACATTCAACAAAATTTGACTTATCAAGTGAACAGATGCAGAGTCTGCTGTACCATAAATTGAAATCCTTGAGGCTTGAGGTTAAACAGGAATAGCAGTACCCAATTTTATAATGCTTTAGCAACTGTCTAATGCACAGTGCATTTCACAACTCGTGTATGCTGGCAGCAGAATCAATCTGAAGCAAACACTTCTACTTTGAGACACACACACATCTCCGAGTGAACCTTCATTTATTTTTATCACTATTAAACCATCATGATGGACACACCCAACGGTGCCTTGCAATAAACAACTTCCTCTGTCACTTAGTCATGTTATTATTATTATTATTATTCTGTTAACTTCTATTTCCAGCCAGAGATAATAGAAAAGAGGACTTGGGTAAGAAGTATGTACTGCCCATATAACATGTACTATACTGAACACTACCAGCAACCAAAAATTTTGACATGTACAAATACTGACTAGCATATGCCATATTTCTGTAACAGTTCTGTTATATTGCTGACATACAATGTTCTTTGGTTAAAACTTCAGTGACCTGAAAATGTCTTATCAAGTAGGAGTTCAGACTGGCATTCCATAACATTTCTCCAAAAATTCGACTATGAAACTCTGGTGACTTTGCAGATATGTTGGACATAGGTGAAAATGCTAATTATGTACTGGTCTAAAATGTCAAAATATTAAAGGGATAATAACTCTTCGTTTTGGCCAAAAAGTGAATTTTCCTGGAGTAAACAACAATTTTCCCATACTTACCAATGGTTAATGAATCCATTTTTACATTCAAAGTTAGTCCCTGGTTTTTTTCTAAAAAGTTTGGTTTTTTGTTAAAATCTCTTAAGAGATTTTAACAGAGTATAGCCATCAATGGAGGTCACGTGGTCTAAAGACAAGCTCAGATATCAGAAAAAATAGTTATAACTGCCGTTTTTGTGGTAAAACAGAATATATTATATATCTATGAGTTATTCACAATGATTTTATTGTGAAATATAGATCTCATACGAAGAGTTTTTATCCCTTTAAATGAATCACAGAAAATTTGCACACAATCCATCAAACTAGTGACACCCTGATAAACAGTGTCTTGCATCCTCAAGTGAAATTCCAGTTCTGATTATTTAACTATGTCAATTGAATTATGATGCCTGTTCAAATATGTTCTACCTTAAAGTGCTAATGATAAAATGAGTGTCCCTTGACCTTAAATATTCTTTCCAATAAGATTATATTTCAACAACAACAGCAACCAATATGTATGAACAAAAAATCCACCAGACTAATGCTATTTGTATATTGCAGCTCCTATTATAATATAAAACATATCCCTTTACCACGGTCAATTATTACCATAACGGTCAAGTAAACCAATAATTATCTGAGACTAGGACAGTGTACTCTGTGGTCACCACTTGTCATCCTTTCCCCACTCTAGGTCCTCATCCTCCCAGTCACCACTTGTCATCCTCTCCCCACTCTAGGTCCTCGTCCTCCCAGTCACCACTTGTCATCCTCTCCCCACTCTAGGTCTTCATCCTCCCAGTCACCACTTGTCATCCTCTCCCCACTCTAGGTCCTCGTCTTCCCAGCCCCCAGGTTCCTGAAAGATGACAAGAACAGAACTTGTAAACTCTATGGCATGACAGTGGGAGTGAAAATAAGAGCATGGCTAGTGTGGTGTAATATAAGATGAAGATATGTTGCTTAGTTCAATGCTTTTCTTCCTGTAACCGTACAAATCACTACTAAGAAGACACTTAACACTCAGTAATGAAATGCTTTCAATTTTTTTATGATAAAAGATTAATTTGTGAAAAATTGTATACTAAAATAATAATTTGTGAAAAATTGTATGATAAAAAAATTATGAATAGAATTCCAGAGTGCAATAATAATCCTTTTTTGCAACAAAAGCAAAAGAACAATGCTTAAAAGCACATGAAGAAGTAAGTAAAATACTTTCTTAATGCCATACCCATTCTCAAATTGTCAGTTTTTGCTGAACAATAACACACACACTCTAAAGAAATTTGAAATCATCACTCACTGTCACGTCTGTAGTAATGTCCATTGCAGCAAAGGAAATGGGAGTCTGTTTTGGTGTTATCTCCTGTTTCTTCTTGTCATCCAGCGTATCTGCCTCTGAAGTGGTCTTACTTCCCAAATGCAAAGAAGCTGAGGGAGAGATATCAGGTGCCATGTCAGCAAAGAAATCAAATTCCTGCACTTTTGGAGTTGCTTTTATCTCTATAGCTAAAACATCAAACTCTGCCCCTAGCTGCTCAGTGTTTATCATGTGCCCACCAGTACTACCACTTTCTCTTCCTTTTGTTTTCTCAGTAGTAGAGTTTTTTCTGGAAGAATTTGAGGGACCCTGTTGCTGCCTTGGAGATGCCAAGGAAGATGGCTGGTTTGCAGGAGTTTCTGTCCAATCACTAGTATTCCAACTGAAATCATCGGTCTCCTCTTTACTTCCAGAATCCAGTGACTTAGTCTCCTCTTTACTTCCATAATCCAATGACTTAGATCTTGGTGACTTGAAGCTTTTTCCACTTTCTGCTTCCTCTTTCATGCTTGGGCTTTTCAGTTTCAGTTTGCCTTTTTTGGCTTCCTTTGGGATAATAGATCTGACCTCCACTTTCTCCTCTACACCAGACCAGTCTATGTGTATGGGTTCCACAGGGGACAGCCTCAACTGGGCATCCTTCCTCTCCAGACTTTCCATTTCTTCCTCAATTTCTTTCTCAATAGCAGCGTCCATGGCCTGTTCCTCATCCCAATCTGTCCAATTTTCCTCATTTTCAGACAGTGGAGCAGCATCTTCCTCAGACTCACGTCTTTCAATATTGGAATGGATCTCTTTCTCCTCCACTGCTTTGGCAGCACTAATGCTTCCTGTTAAAGGTTTATCACCTTCCTCTTTTTCAGAATCTCTATTGATGTCCTCTGTAATGTTAATGTCAGCTGTGGAAGTCTGCTGTTCAGTAGTCAGATCTTGGTCCATTTTTATAGTTCTTTCTGAAACTGATTTTAAAGAAGAAATGATAAAAAGTCTCGAGAATCCTCTCAAATTTCATGAAAAACTATTTATTTTGCACAAAAAATTAAGATAAATAATAATAGATAAATAAATAATAAATAAAAATTAATAAAATAAAATAAACAAGTTAATATAAATGAATAAATATTTCATCTATTCAGTAACAGGCTACTCAGCAACACAACACTGAAAAATAAAGTTTCCCCACTATAACCTAATGCAATTTACAGATTATATGTAGATACTAAATGGTGAAGTATCTGCTCTCTACATAATGCGTACTTATCTGTGCCACACAGCAGTAATAACATTTCAACTCATGAATAATTGATACTGTGAATCTATATGAAAATAAATAGCAATGTGTTTTGATCACACTGGCATTGAAGTTGCAGTCACCAGTAGGTTGATTTATTTCAGGATTGAACAAATATGGTCCTATTAATAAGTTCAAATTTCTCTCTCATATAAGATCTTGAACAAATGATGTCATTAAACCCGACTTGCTAGTTGTGCTGAGCAGAGGAGCATATACTTCACTGGCATGACCCCTACAATCATTACATATGAGTGAAAATCAAACAGTATGCAATGTGTTCAGTAGTTTTTTTTTAAAGTGATTTTAAACTGTTATTACCTTTTTCAGCCTGGATCTTTTTATCTTCCCTTTTTCTTCTCCTTTCTTCAGCTTTTCTCTTTGCCTCCTGTTTCCTCTTCTCTCTTTCTTTTAACAGCTGTAGTTTTCTGTCCTCACTCTCATCACTGGGGTGTCTCTTTAGATCTCCATTGCTATTCAAACAAAACAAATATGGCTAATATCAAATCTACCTTTAAAATATCATTAACAGGGACATCAGTTTTTCACAGTACTAATGAACAGTACTACATGGCATTGATGCTAATTTCTTTTAATATAATGCTACTGATTGGACAGCTTGACAAGCCAACTCCTGATATCTGAGACAGGCTTCCTGATTGGAGGGCTCAATAGTTATACATAATTGATAAGATTTCATTTCGAACAGCATGAAGTTCTAAGTATGGCAGCTGAAATGAAAACTGAAAACATTTGTTTTGCAAGCAATTGTCATTAAACTGCCATGCATCTGATTTATATAAACAGTATATGGGTGAGAAACAAACATCAATCTCATAAATGCATATATTCAATATGTCTAGATCAATTATCTACAGACTGGGTCAGTACCTCAATGCAGATCATTATGGATTTAGCTAAAATACTGCTAATATTGAACATGCTGGTAATAAAGTATTCATAAATGCAAATGTTTATGGTATTGGAAAGAAATGTGACTTATGAGACAGAATGCATTAAATCATTATACAACAGAGCAAGTTTGTAATATGAAAAAAAATTATCTAGATGAACACATGAATTATTCAGCATTTTCTGACAACAGAAATATCTCACTTAAACTTTCCTGATCAAAATAATAGTCTATAAACCACATTTATAACCCTTTTGTCTCCCTCCTGAGCTTCTTTTTTTTACATTTAAAACTAAAATGGAATATCAATACACTACATGATCAGCACTACTTAAGAGTATCAGGCCTATACTATAAATGTAAGCAGTTTTCTTACCACACTTCCCCTGTGGCTGACTTAGTCAGGTCTAAGACTTTGCTGACTGTGTCAGGGACTGGAATGTGATCCCCTGAGCTGGTCTCCTCTATCTTCAAGGCCTATAGTTAGAAATTATTGTACACTTGGAAAAAGGTATTCTATTTGTAACAATGCCACGTTGCAATTCCACAGTGCTGACGATCAATATAGTCTCAGTTTTGTTGCCTGTAGGAAAACTGGGGTATAAAATAGCCTAACAGGTGTAAAGTCAAAGCCCTGAGGGAAATATTTGGAATAGAATTAATGTGTGATAGTGATATATGCCTTCAGGAACATCTCTGTTTAATTTAATTACCTTGTGATCATTAATAACTTGTTTTTGCTAAACTTTTTTTCTGTCATTAATATAGAAAGAAATTGGGGGGTGCTAGTCCAGCTTAAAATCAAGTGATCGTACTTGTTTATATGTTTAAAACAAAATCTGCCTTACTCTGGGTTTTCCTTCTATAAATATCTTTGACCTTGACCTTCCTATCACAGCGTCCCCTCCTAATACTGGCACTAATACTGCAAGAGCCTCCAGAGACTTACACACTATCTGGTCATTAGTGTCCCTCAAACCAAGCAACAACTGGAAAATCATGTAAATGTTAATAAAATCCAAAGGTTTAACATTACTTTCCCCAAAGGTTCTCAGTTGTTTACTTCATTTATATTGATATTTACTATATTCAGATACAAAATTGCCAGACTCCACCCATTAATATAAAAAATTTAATTAAAATACTATATACTTGAATCATAACAAGTGTAATAAAAAAACATACCTGTGGCAGAATCACATCCTGTAATGATTCCTTATCAAATAAATGAGCAAAGTGTCTGAAATGTGTGAGAATCACAAGTCTGATGTGTGCATCTTTGACATGGAAAATCCTGTATAAGATAGGGATGACATGTTTCTGATACAGTCTCCGAGGCAGGATAGGCACCGGCCTATCTTCCTTATGAGTTTCCTTAGATTGCACTTTATTATTTATATCTGTGTCTTCTGAAATGGAAAAGATAACACATGATCAGATTTTAAAAGTTAAGTTTTGGTAACCTTATAGATGACAAATTCTCCTTTCCATGGTCCAGGAATGACATGTCAATTTTTCATAACTCACAGGCAAAGACGGTTAAAACAATTTTCAAAACAAATGAATAGCTTCAAAGAGTAAGTATCCTGTTGAACATTTCCAATAAACAGCTGACATACTTTTGAATAACTAAGCAGAATTTAAATTAAATAATTAAATTTTCTATCATCAATTTGGCAAGATTTTTTTCAATCTCAAACAAAGTTATTCCATTACTAACCCAGTTCCATTAACGTTTAACATATGCATAAAATTAGCTTTTGGATCATATGTATGATGGAAAGTACAATGAACCACAGGGAAATTTCCATCAATTGACCATGGGGATCAACAGTCCGAAATGTGCCTAAATCCCATTAAAATTACATGCAGATAAACCATGTATAAAGGTACCTTCTCCTGGGGTGAGGACATGTGGTATCACATGATCCACTGCATTGGTGTCCAGTAACACGAAGCGCGACAAGAGCGGCTCTGCCAGCCTAGAGGCTACGAGGTCTGCCGGCAACGACAACAGCTTCTCAACCACTGTGCTGAGAAATTCAAAACATTTATTTTATTAATAACCATAAGATTTTGAAATGTTTTTTTTTTTCATATCATTAGACCATTTTTTGGGGAAATATGTCAGACACAGCAAACTGCATTATCCCTGCAATGGAGATTACGGAGAAAGTCTGAATTCTTTGAAGTCTACACATTGACATATCTCATTACTGATCACTTCCTTAGAACTAACTATAATATCAATACAGTGTCTGTGCATTTTCTGTCTTACTGAAGAGAATATATAATTATACTTAATAAAAATATACAAAGTTAAATAATATTAACCTTGCTATTTTGTGTGCAGGATTGACAAATATTTATTATCAGTCAAATAACAACTTAGTTATGAGTCAAAATAATTCCACTCTGATATGAACAGAAAGTAAGGCAGTTCCAAATAAATTTGAATCAACTGTCCTCAATTACTTGTATGCTTCAAGTAAAAGATTATGAGGACATATACAGTCCAGTAAGGACCAAGTTGATCTGCAGACTAACTGATCTGCTGATCAAATATGGTGAAACCCACTCGAAAGCTTGTTGCGTAATCCCTGTGGGGAATCCATTAGGGGATTACCCAGAAAGCTTTCAAGTGGGTCGCCTTGATCGACAGATCAGTTAGTGCCCCGATCAACTTGGTAGGGAACAGAGCCAAAATCACAGAATACGTCACATTCTACTTACCAGAAAAATTCTTTTTTCTCCTCATCAGACTTAAGTGTTATATTTTTCAGGAACATTTTTATTTCCAAGAACTCGTTCCTGAAATGTGGAAGTAAAATGCCATTAAGACATTCCTAGTATTAATTAAAGAAACTAATAATAATATTCATTCAGCTAATATAAAATGGCAAATAAAATAATGTTTTAAAAGATATTGGGAATTAAAATTTAGACTTAAACACTTTTAGAAACCTCTTACTACCTTTAAAGTTTTAAAAATCCTTTTCTTAAATCCTCTGTTAAATGTTTTATATTACTATAAACCAGCTGTAACATTAAGCTTGCCTCACCTGAACAACCTATCCTGTAGCAAAGAGCTCACATGTGGTCTTTGCCTTGGATCTTGGTGCAGAAACTCATCTTGAATTCTTAGTTCAAAAGTCTTTGTTAAATCACCTAAAATATTGTACATAAAAAAGTGTTTACTATATATGTGTCTGATACCCATGAAAACAACATGACCATTTATTTGTTACTTTCACTGAGATGTTATTGAATGTAATGAAACAGGTGAGCAGTTTAATTTTTTTTCACATTTTATGACTATCATTATCAAATACTAAACTAACTGCTGATGTCATCAAACAGATGTGAATTCAGAAAATTGAAAATGATGACAAGGTCCAAACTGCCCAAATACTGCCTTCCAGAAACAAGAAAACTGCCTTAAACCCTCAATTCCAAAATGTGCAATTCAAAATTAAAAGCAACACCCAATTTGCCAGTAGAACCAAATAAAATATCCCAGATCAGTTTTTAAAGGTATATTATATGTGTTTGAAAATCTAACAAATCCTGCAAAACTACTTATTTTTCCAAATTAAGACCTTAAAAATGATAAAACCCATCAAATTGAAATAAAAGAATTGCCAGGAAACCAAGGTGGTCAAAATGAATCATGATTTGGTAAGAACAAAGTAATCTAATCAGAAATAAAACAAAACATTAAATCCAAGTGAAGGGCCAGATTGAATGAATCCATTCATGAGTAGGAAAAATTTGCTTTCTTGAGAAATATAAGATTCTGTGCAGAAATCCTGTATAGGACATTAATGAAATACAAAAATATCATGTCTAACTTACAGAATACACTCGGCAACACTGAATAATTTTATTCACACATTTTAATTGAGTTTTGATTGTGTATATATATCTGAAGGTTCATTTACAAGATCACAAGAGAGAGAGAGAGAGAGAGAGAGAGTGAGAGAGAGAGACTACACTTAATGAAAGTATTTAACTTTTCAAATGCTTATTGTACATCACAATGCATTGTTGGCAAAACTTCAATTTATGTTTAACTATCTCTTTGTGCACTGTGTCAAAGGAGAGATGTCACTTGAAGTAAGAGCCCCCTACCCAAGTCCACCAAGTACTCTAACAAGGCTTCAGCCAGTCTGCCAAAAGCATATGCATCTCTTGCATGAGCATACTGCAGCTCCGTCACCACTTGCCCATTCTGGAAGTTAAAGACTATAAGTAATACCTCATAAAGGAAACTGGGGAACCATAGGTACATAGCTAATGCATCTCAGTCAATTTGCAGTGCTCCTTGAAGATTTCATGTGGCTTGACAATTTGCATATAACTTGTTTGGGTTTATAAGTTTATTTCACAAATACATAATATTGGTGGAACATAGTATCCTTTTACTAAAAAACATTAACCATTTGCCTTAAATAAATTTGCCAAAATAATCTCTAAATATACAAAACAAAACAGAAAATATAAGATTAAACAGACTATAAAAACAAGTTTTCAAAGGCTAAATTAAATTCTTAAGATCACCTTCTCCTCTGGAGTAATAGCCTCTTCATTTCTAAAAGTTTTGCATGCCTGTAGCTGCTCTAGTGTAGCCTCAGTGAGTTTGCAGACATAGTCCAGACCTCCCAGTTTCCAGCTCCCATCTTCACTCACAAAAACGGAAGCTAAACTCACATTATTGTGGGACACACCAACCTTTGTAAAAAATAATTATTTTTAGATATTTTGCAACTGAAATGATTTTGTTTGTTTAGATTATATTATCTATCAAACAAAAATAATTCTGAATTTTTTTAAATATAATTTAGCATTAATGTAATATTCTGTATTGTTTTTATTATGCATTTAACATATCACGGTAAAATTTAAAGGTAGATTTTTATTATGTGCACACACATTGCTTATATTTTATGGTCATAAATCAAGAATTATAATATGAGAACTGTACACAGTACAACCAAACATCTGCCACCATTAGAATAAAACTGTAGTATTTGCAACAAAGCCTTACCCTTTCATGCAAAAAACTCAAAGCTTCAATAATATTGTAGATTCCTGCTGATATTTCCACTGAAGACAGTTTTCCTGCCTCAAGAGCCAGCAGCAGAGGACTGACTGGTTTTGTGACAATATGCAGACCCTTAGGACTGGTGAAGGAGGTGAAGAAGCGCAGCACACTAGGATGACGTATTGTCTTCAGTTGCTGAAAATAAATACACTGAGTCATCTTCGTGCGCTTATATGTAATCAGACACTGAATATGACATGAAACATGAATATAATTTTACACATAGATCTCACAACTCTCCCCCCCCCCTCCCCTTCTCGCAAACCTGTCTCCCGTGTTCCTGTCAAACACTCTGAACGTCCATCCTAGGTTAACGTTAATCTAGCTAGTGTGTTTTGGTGCTGAGAATTACACAAATTCTAAGATGTAAAAACCGTTTTAAATATAATTCATCTGCTAAAAATACGCCAAATCTGATGTTATTATAATTCACTCAAATTACCTTGACAGCATTTTCCACAAACCCCCTCTTCTCCGGATCGGGTTTCTTGTGGAAGAACACCGTCACCTTGGAGCCATCTTTCCACTGTGCTGGACACACAGACCAACCACGCAACGCTTCAAAATCTAGCGCCGGCTGGAGAGTACAGTCTTCTAACGAGCTGGATTCGTTTCCCATTACTTGAATATTAGTTTTCTGTCATCTTACCACTTACATAACGTTTCCAACAGATTCCTTTACATATAAAAACGCCTTGTTAACACTCCCTCAGCTCTTTTTACATTCAGTATGCAGAGCTGTTTTATAGTTTGAGCATAGCTTCGATGCAATGCATGAATACTTGTTCGAAATTAAAATGAAATATCAAGATATAGAAAACATTGCGATGCTTTAATATATATTTCCCGATCTCAAATGTATTATAGATGTCTCTAAAGTATATCTAAATTTCAATTTTAATCCGTCAATAAAACGATCAACTAAACATAGTGTGCCGCGCGAGCGAACAGTATGGCTGCCCTGAGTGCGGGCGACGCACTTGTCATGACTAGGTTTCTCCGATTCAATGGTTACACGGACATCCCAAGGCCTTTTTTGATCGGAGTCGCAGGTGGAACTGCTTCAGGAAAAGTATGATTTATATCCAGCTTTATTAAATCTTGCACTAACGAAATGTTAGAGAAATAAAATCACGAATTTTTTCACTCGTTCATTCATTTTCGTTGACTTACTTTTACATACTTGTATAGGGTTCTCACATGCTAGAGATTTGAAATTTGGCATTTAGATAACCAAACATCTGAGTATGGATGCTATTATAATTTTGAGCTGTCTCAGTTAGATCAAAATGTATTAATGTTTTACTGACTTTATATTTTGTTAGATTTCTCATTTTAATATGCAAACATATACAGTAACTGAGGTATGTCACTTGATTTAGAACCCTTAAATATTGCCACAGACGCTTTGAATGCAAGAGACAATAATATAGGAGCTGAGCACGAAGATAATGCTGAACATTTTGTTCTGGGATCTTTTGAAGCACAGTAGTACAGTACAGTACACCTGACATGGGTAGATTGAAGTAATAATTGGTGGCAAATCCATGTAGTATTATAAAACAATACTATTATACTTTGCTTTGTCTATTGCAAACACAGAAGAACTTGACTAAACATTGGCTTAATAGGAGAACAAGAGAGGGTGACAAAAAAAAAAAATCCCTTCCCCCTCAAAAAAAAAAAAAAAAAAAAATTAAGAATGTTTCCTTTTAGCCATTCCTGGCTAGATCTTCAAACCATCCACCTTGCAACAAGTAGAGATAATAGCTGATAATAGCTGATCTTAATTGTGTATCAGTGCAGGTCAGTTTCCCATGCATTGGTTGAGAAGCGGCATGGCGTAGCACCAGTGAAAAAACTTGTAGAAATCTGATACTCATGGGACACTGTTTGTAAATATAGGCCCAGAGGTCTGTAGTGGTTATTTATTGCTAGAGTATTAATCATTGGCACCATTACCCATCTTCGTCATTATCTCTGTATTTAACCTTTTTTTTTTTTTAGTAAGTTGAGTAATCCTCTCTGTTATCCATTACTGTATATGTTAAATGCAAAATTATAGATTTAACTTTGACTCTTTTTCTCTATTATATTTTCAGACCTCAGTATGTCAAAAAATAGTTGAAAAGCTTGGCCAGGCTAATGTTGAACGGAATCAAAGGCAGGTGATCACAATAAGTCAGGAATGTTTCTACAGAAACCTCACACAGGCAGAGAAAGACCTGGCAGTCCAAGGAAAATTCAATTTTGATCACCCAGGTATCATTAGTTGTGCATTTTAATATCAGATTTTAAAGGAAAGGATGTAATATTTCTTGGCCGTAGTGTAGAGAGTTCTGAGGAGTGGAGAAAAGCCTGGAGAAAAAAAAAAGATCAGTTTTAATTTTTTAATCACTTGGATACAAGACTTGGGGCTGTAAACAGTGTTTAGTTTTGCTGTTTATTTAAAGGGACCAGCATGTACAGAAGATTAATTTTGCTTGCTTTTATTACCTTGTGTTTTGTATAATGTAATGTAAAACAGAACAGAACACAATCTTGATTGGTAAGGAGGGAGAAAAGGCTATAAATATCTTAATAATATCATATCACTCATGCTCATATCATTCCTTTCTTAGCAAGTATTATATTTTACACCTTTTTCAAAACATATGTTGATTGATAAAAACACTTCAAATTAATTTTCATTCTTTGGTATATAAATAATGCCTATTTATTACTTAAATTTTATTCTAAATTTAAAGTATTCATTTTATGCTTTCAGAGGCATTTGACTTTGATTTAATGCTGAAAACACTACAGGACATCAAGGAGAGAAAGCCAGTCAAACTGCCAGCTTATGATTATGCCACTAATGCCAGGTACAGAGTTGATATTTGAATTCATTTTCATGCAACATACTGTTTTCATTGGGTATATTTTGTTTAGTTTTTTAGTTTAATATAATGTCAAATAGAATCAACCTGGGGTAACGCTAACACTTGCCAATTTAGCCAAATGCTAAAACTGACTTCAATTGACTAAAGAAAAAGGGCTTGATTTGACATGTTTTAGCCAAATTATAATCATTTTGATAACTAATTGACAAAAATGTGGTGATTTGGCTAAGTGAAAAAAATTGCTAGCTCTACCCCAGTCAGTGTTTGTTAGAATAAATTCAATTTAAAAACGCAGCACAAATAACAGCATCACTACCAGATAACAATATTATTAAGCATATTTTGTATATGTGTAGTACACATATCTCATATATTTGAGAGTGACATTAATTACCACTGCAAAAGAAGCAGACACTTTATTTGATTCCCGCAATTTTAGTGACAACAGTACAAGATCATGTTATCCAGCCTGTCTGTGCGCTAGTAATTTCCACTATCTCCTCCTAGACCATTAGAGTGAGAAAGTTTGGGAATTGATAAACCTGTCATCAGGGACTTGCATGGGCACTTCAAAATTTTAGTACAAGTGGAAGTTGGGCTGTTCCTGGTTGGGGGTGGAGTTGATTCATAATTCTGTTCACATTGTAATTTGTACTATTCATCCTAGATCAATAGAGTGAGGAACTTCAAACATTGGGGATTGATAGTCTTGTCGAAAGGGATGTGCATAAGTACTTCAGAATTTTAGTATAAGAGGGTTGGGCTGATCCTGGGGGTGGATGGCTCTAATTTTCTGCATTGTAAAGTAGACCTAAACCATTACAGCGAGGGAATTCAAACTTTTGGAATTGATAAACCTGTCATCATAGATGTGGATGTGCCAGTCCAAACTTAGATGTGTATGGGGGTGGATAATTCTTGTTTTTTTATATGAGGCAATTTAAAATGGATATTTTTATGCTGTTATCTTATGAACTTCAAGATTATTTGCAGTAATTATATATATAGGACCCAGGCATTGTCGTAGATATCGAGGGAACGGGGACCTGAGGGTGAGCTACTCTTTACAATGTGGGGAAGTGCAACAATATGCCATGGCTACCCATCAACACCATCTAGCTTCTGGTTGTTTTCATGAAATTTTTGAAATCTTAGTTTGCCTTGGTAAATACATACAGAGACAGTTGTAAAAGCCTGATAGCTTTTAACATAAAAAGAATGACCCATTTAGAACCCCACTTTAATTTCTAACAGTAATAGTTTATTTAATCTGAGTTGTATTTCAGCTTTCTTTGTCTTGTTTCAGAAAGGAGACAGAATGGATTGTTGTGTACCCAGCAGATGTCGTGTTATTTGAAGGCATTTTAGTATTTTATTGTAAACAAATCAGAGAGATGTTTGACATGAAGCTGTTTGTGGACACAGATCCAGACACGCGGCTTTCACGTAGAGGTGGGTTACAAAAGTTAATGTCATTGGTCCTATTCAGAATGTGAAGATCTGAGTGCTAACTGGTCCGCGGCTTAAATATGGCGGACCCTAAAAGGAAGACCGCTTAAACCTGTAATGGTCTGTCCGCCTCTCACACACCTTCCCACGTGTTCCCTGCAGGGGCACATCAATTCAATCTCGACTCCAATTGACCGGAGGCGTGGGGAGGCATGTGAGAGGTGGAGAGATCATTATAAGAATAAGCGGTCTTCCTTTCATGTAGGGTCTGCCATATTTGAGCGTTAGACCAGTTGATACTCGGATCTTCTATTCTGAATGGCCCCATTGTTTTTAAGTATGCAAAGGTAATTTCTCTCTAAACTTATTTCTTTTTTGCACAAAGTGGCTTTCAGTAAAAGCACACTGGGTGCAGTATTCAAGTAATCTTTGTATAATTTGGACATTGTTCTAGCTTCCTAGTGCAAATGAATTTTCTGATTGTCATTTGATACCTTGCCTTTTGGTTATTTGACAATAGGACCACAGTTAAAATTAGTCAGGTACAGGTATTTAGCTCTTATCTTTAGATTGAATTTTATTATAGGGCGAAAATATGATAATAAAATTGTACCCTTATATTCTAGTTCTGAGAGATACCATAGAACTTGGCCGAGACTTAGAGAAAGTTCTCAGCACTTACATTGTCTTTGTGAAGCCAGCATTTGAAGAGTTCTGTTTACCAGTAGGTATAATTTTCTGCAATTGATCATGTAGTTCAAACTTCTTATATTGAAACATTATTTTTTTAGATTTTTTCATTTTAGTTTCTCATCAAAATTATAGACTGGGACTGTGTGCTAAAATGGATAAAATTCTAAAAATGTTAGTTAAAAACTTCTTTAGTTTTGTCAAATGTTGTCAGTCAGTGTATATTTTTTAACTTAAAGCTGTGAGTTGATCATTTACCTTTTCTTTTATGCTTAAGTACTCAAAATGCATACATTATTAATAAATATCTTTCTTGCTGAAAAAATACTTTGTCTAAAAAACATACTACAATATTTTTACCATTTTCATTTATTTTAGACAAAAAAGTATGCTGATATTATTATACCAAGAGGTGCAGATAACCTAGGTATGAACATACATATTACCAGTACAGGCTTAAAAAGTTTTTTGAAACATTTGTAATTGATTAGACAGGAATAAAAAAACATTGCTTTTGATTATAATTGAAAAACGGTGGTGCTCATTTTGTCCATTTTACAAAAAAAAAAAAAAAATTGTAAAATAATCATTTTTAGATTTTAAATGCATGTATAATTATGACATGGCATTTTTAAATCAGATGCAAACAGCAATTACAAACTGCCATTTCCACAGACTGCTTTATTGCCTTAACAGTTTTTGCTCTAATATCTTAATATTTATCATAATTTTTCCCAATGTTTTTTTCATTTCAGTTGCTATTGACCTTATAGTGCAGCACATACAGGATATATTACACCCTAATCCAGAGGCTCACCAGCGCGCAGAGCGTGTGCAAAGGACTAGACATAACTCAGAGTCTGGGGTGGTGGCCAGGCCACATTGAGGCAATAATGTGGATGAACTTGGTTTAACAAATAGGAACACGACATTATTAAATGTACGGACTCATGCAGGCATTTAAAAGTGTCAACACAAGTTTGTTTTGGTTTTGATACATGAAAATTACAAGGAAGTTAACCAGACTGTAATGAATTTGCCTTAATTTGTTCAACTAAATGATGAAAACAGGATTGTGCTGATATGTGTCCAGTATGTGGTTTCTCCAGTATTACAAAATCTCACCTGAGGTTTCAGAATTGTGTTAAATAACCTAATCATGGTGGGAAATTTGAAAATGAAATGCAGGGAGTTTGAAAACCTGTCCACGGCTGTGTGTCTATAAATATTTCCATCTGTATATAGTGAGACCAGGAATGAATCTCATAAAAGAATTTTTGTTGAAATATATATGTACATCACTCCATTACTCTATTAAAAATGCTGTGTGGAAAACTTAAAAACACCAAATTATTAATGTTAATCTGTACACAGATTCAGAGGTCAGTGTATTAACCCCCCTCCTCCCACGTTTCAAAGTTATTTCGGCTGGAAAAACTTTCCCCTTTGACTATTTTGTTGTTGCACTTGTAAACATGGATAAATTAAAGTTATTCATATTTATGCTTGTTTTATGAATGCATGACTGGTGCACAAAATAAAAAGGCAGCTAATAATTGAAAAAGCAAATGTGGAGGCATACGATGCCCATATTGTAAAGAATTTCTATTTTGGGTACATTTGTGCATTGTAAAGTGTCATGCTGCGGTCACAAGTTACTGTCATTCACTTAGTGCAGCATTTATTGTACCACCAGCGTTAGCGCTGGCGGTACACATGGTTTTAGTCCCGTCCGGTCCGTTCCGCCGGCTCCTGCGGCTCCGCCGGCTCCGCCGCCATGTTACCGTTACCGCTTCTCCTCCTAGACGGTAAGGGCCCCCATACCCATCTCTTGGATTTAGGTCACCTATAATCTCAACTCGTTCCACGTAAAATTTGGGCTTTGTCGGTATTGGGGTCTAGGTGTGGCACTCATTGCAATGCACCCTTGTCCAAAAATGGCAAAATTAAATGCTAATTATCTACCCTACAGAAGGAATTATGGGAAAAATTTCTACAGACAGCTTTCCAAAAGTCATATGTGTAGATTTCAAATATGCCCTTGGATTTGACCTTTGACCTTTATTTCAAGGTCAAACGGGCAAAAA